CAGGTCGAGGCTGCGGTGACCAGGAGCAGCCACTGCACTCCAGTCTGGGTGACAGAGTGAGACTCAAAAAAAAAGAAGTCAAATTCAGGGTCAAGGACGTCACCAGTAGCCATGTGACTGATAACAAGTTAGAATGTAAGTCAGCAACAGCTGTGTTCCTAGTAAGCGTCATCTGGAAGGCAACTGAGACTACCCGGAAACAGGTAAAAAAAAAAAAAAAAACAGAATTGCTGTAGAACCCTAAGTATTCTGTAAAGTTCCAGAGTCTTCTAATTCACCTTGTGGATTAAGCAGAGAAATGATACAGTAAAACAAATTTCATTCATTCTCTCCTGGGCACTTTGAGACTCAGAAAGAGTCTACCTTAATCCTCAGAGAAAAATCTTCTTCTCCTTTTCTATATATGAAAGAGACTTCCTCTTAGATCTGTTCTGGATGCCAGTGTCTCTATTGATTTCATAAGCAGCCATAGCACTCATCATTCATGCAAAGGAGAATCACTGATGGTTCATGAAACAGATTTTAGCAGCAAAGGTATCCTAAAGGAGGCTTCTGGTTTCCATATTGTTGACTTTTTTAGCTGGAAGGGCCAGAATGACCATCACCACTAATTGTCATCTGCTCAAGTTTAAGTGACTCTTCAGGCTTCATGGTGTTTGCTACTGTAAAATTCTACCTCCTTAGTCTTTTTTTTTTAATAAGACTTCTCACCATCAACACAAATGCTGGCTCTCCAGGCTATTTTTCTCCAACAAACTGATTGCAACCCATAAAGATGCTCAATAGCAATTAGGTTTTATTGTTCTCATCTCACTTATGTGTATAGGAGCCATCAAAATGTAAAATGCACATATCCTCTGACTTAGCAATCCCCCTTCTAAGAATTTATCCCTGGGGATGTGTTCATGTGTGGGTACAAGGACATATGTACATGGACACTCATTTGTAACATGATTTAAAGTAGCAAAATAATGGGCACAACCTTAATATGAGAGACAGGCAAGCATATGGAAGATATCCCTGCATATTGATGTGGTACGATTAGTACAAAAAGCAAGGTGGGAACAGTGTCTCAAGCATGGTAGCATATGTGTTTTTTTAAAAAAGGGAACACATACATACATATGTGTGGGTGGGTGTACACACACACAACTCACACACTCATTTACACACATACATATGCTCACAATCTCTGGACGAATAACAAAAGAAATGGATCAGCTGGGCTCCTGTAGTCCCAGCTCCTTAGGAGACTGAGGTAGGAGGATCACTTGAGCCTAGGAGTACAGCCTAGACAGCACAGAAGACCCCATCTCTTTAAAAAAAACTGATCAAGGTAGTTGCCTCTGGGGAAGGGAACTGAGGTGAGGTGGAAGCAAATGAGAGGCAGTTCTATATCTTTTCAGCAGGGCTTAACTGTTTTACCCTGTGTAAAATTTTTTTAAGTACACAGAAAGAGAGAGAAACAATCATCAAGGAATTAACTTTGCCAAAGCTATCTAGCAGTGGCACCTACTGGTAAAATAACTTCCTGTCCCAAAGTATATCTTAGAAAAGAAAATCCTGAGTTTTCCTGGCACATCCATTTCAGCTATTAGTCAGGAAATATGTTTATATTAGAGTCTCATAAGAAACTCTTTATTGGTATTAGGGCTTCTGAGCATAAGGCTTAAAAGTACCATCTGGCTGGTAAGTTATAGTTCATTATGGTTTGAATTGCACGCTATAAAAAAGAGTGAAGAATATTTCTATATCCTTCTATGGGGTGATCTCCAGCACAGAGTGGTAAGTGAAAAAAGCAAGGCAGGAAAAAAATATGTGCAGAGTACGCTACCATTTATCTAAGAAGGGAGAGAGCTACAAATAACATATAGCTTTACTTATATCTAAAAACTGAAAAGACAAACCAAGAAAAAAAATTAATGGTTGCCATGAGAGACAAGAAAATAGGCTGGAGGGGACAGGAATAGATAGATTTCTCTAAATCAGTGGTTCTCAACCAGGGCAATGCTGCCCCTGCCCTTGGGGGACATTTGGCAACATATGGAAGTATTTTTAGTGTCACAATTGGGGAGAGGGGTACTACTGGCATCTAGTGGTAAAGGCCAGGAATGCCGTCAAACATCCTGCAATACACAGGACAGTTCCCACATGTAACAATGAATAATCTAGCCCCAAATGTCAATAGCACAGATAATATACCTGATAAGGAACTTATACCTAGAATATATAAAGAACTCTTACAACTCCATAACAAAAATACAAAAACCCAATCTAAAAATGGGCAAAGAATGTGAATGGACATTTCTCCAAAGAAGACATACAAGTGGCCAATAAACATACAAAAAGATGTTCAACATCCTTAGTCATGGGGAAATGCAAATCAGAGCCACAGAGAAATGTCACTAGGATAGCTATAATCAAAAGACAAACAATAGCAAATGTGACAAAGAATGTGGAGAAATTGGGACCCTCACATGATGCTGGTGGGAAAGTAAAATGTTGCAGCCACTTTAGAAAACAGTCTGACACTTCCTCAAAGGGTTAAAAATAAAATTAACATATGACCCAGCAATGCTACTACTAGATAAAATGAAAACATATGTCCACAAAAAAATCTGCACATGAATGTTCACAGCAGCATTATTCATAATAGCCAAATAGCAGAAACAATCCAAATGCCAATCGATGGATGAATGGATCAATAAAATGTGGCATGTTCACACAACGGAATATTAATCACCAACAAAAAGAAACAAAATACCGATACATGCTACAACATAGACAGACCTTAAAAACATTGTGCTAAGTAAAAGAAACCAGTGACAAAAGGCTACATATTGTATTATTCCACTTATATGAAATGGCTAGAATTGGCACACCTATAAAGACACAAAGTAGATTAATGGTTCCCTGGGACTTGGAGGATAGGAGGTTTTGAGGTGTCAGTTAAGGAGTGTGGGGTTTATTTCTGGAGTAGTGAAAATGGTCTAAGACAGGCACAGTGGCTCACGCCTATAATCTCACCATGTTGAGAGGCAGAGGTGAGAGGACTGCCTGAGCCCAGGGGTTCAAGACCAGCCTGGGTAACTTGGCAAAACCTGGTCTCTACAATAAATCAAAAAAATTAGCCAGGCATGGTGATGCACGCTTGTAGTTCCAGCTACTTGGAAGACTGAGGCAGAAGGGTCACCTGAGCCCAGCAGGTCAAGGCTGCGGTGGCCGTGAGTGTGCCTCTGCACTCCAGCCTGGGCAACAGAGTGAGACTCCAACTCAAAAAAAAAAAAAAGAAAAGAAAAGAAAACGGTCTAAAATCTACTGTGGTCGTGGTTGCACGGATTTGTGGATATGCTAAAAGTCACTGGAGTGTATACTTTAAATGGCTACATTTTGTGGTATGTGAATTATATCTCAATAAAGCTGTTTTTGAAAGCAAATCACAATTGTGAGGCACATGCTCCATTAGAGGTGGGTGCTCGGCAGCCAGGGCACAGTTGGGCGTGCACAGACAGCTGGCAAACTGGCAAACTAAAGACCAGTTACAATGTGCAAAGAGTGTTCCATTAGTGGTGATCACAATAGCGCAGGCGCACAAGGCATAGACAAGAAAAGAGGTCAGGAATGTCTTCCCGGGATGAACAGGAAACTGTTGGTAACTGAGGTGTTATTGTTTTTAATTAAATTCTTCATTGATTTTATTGAGATTCTAGGGGGAGAGAGATTTTAGGCAGGGGGACATCTTAGGTATAGGGAAACTCAGGCTATATCTGAAAAATCAAGTTCAGGCTGTCCAAACATAAAACCCAAAGCATGAGAGAAATCGGAATGTCATGGGACAAATTAGCAAAGCAGCAGGTGACAGAGCATGAGACTCAGCCAAGAATCCTGGGCTGAATATCTGAGGGGAAAAGGAATTGGTAGAAGATAAGGATCAGCGCAGAATGGTTGTCACTTTTGTTTTAGAAAGACAGATGACCAGCAATGTGGAAAATAGGCAGACTGGGGATGAGTCTAGAGACAGGACAGCTCATTTATTTATAGTAGATGTTATAAATTGTTGTCACAGCCAATTTAATCCTTTACTAAACATTAAGCTTGAAAGCTACAACAAAAAGAAATCAGCCCAGGATTATGGCTTTAAGGTACAGCTGACAAAATAGACTATCAAGTACAAAGCGGTTTGATGTAAAAGTAATAATGATAATTAAAAATTCATATATAATTAAAAATGTTCTGGTGCTATCGAGAAAAAAATAATAGCCTCGTAGGAGTTTACGTGACAACCAGGAACCAAATAACAAAGACTGGACCCAGAAAGATAAGCCACTTACTACAGGAACTGGGGCATTTGGCTCAAATTCTGTGGAATCAGCATCTGAAGATTAAGAAAAGAGTTCAGTAATTCACCAATCTTTCTTAAAAAATGTGAAATGATAAATTTTTTAAATAAATAATTATTAGTAAATCTCGAACTTACCTTTCAAGTTAAGGCAGTTTCTTGCAAATTCTATTACTGCTAGCTGCATCCCAAGGCAAATTCCTATTTTAGAAAGCACGTATACAAAGCAAACAAACACACTTTGTAATTATTCATATTTTCTGTTTATTTGTTTACTGCCTGTCTCCCCCATCCAGAATGCAGACTCCCAAAGAGCAAGACCTTCCCTATTTTGTTCCCTGCTGTCTCCTCAGAGCAGTTCCTGGCAGAGAGCAGGGCAGGGGGCTAGACAACCAAGGGGCAACCTGAGGCCTGGAGCTGATGAAGCAGGAATGCGAAGTCAGAAAGGGGCAGAAAAGGAGAGGGTGGGATCCAAAGGGCAAATCTGCTGCCTTCCAGATATGCCCCTATTTCAGGGCATCTGTGTGGGCTGCAGGGCTGTCCCAGAATGCTTGATTTCTTCAGAGGACATCCAACAGCACCCCAACTCAAGAGGGAGTCTCCCTGGGCTGAGACTTCCCACTCCCTCTTCGCAAGCTCTCACAGCCACATACACGGACTTGGCCAGAAGGCAAGAGGATCTAAGCAGCACAGGCTGCTAAGCCACAGAATAGCCCCATAACCTTCACTAGAGGGCAAAGCAGCTGGGGAGCGTGGGGGGTAGGGGACAGGAAGGTGGTTGGTGCCTCCACGGTGGCCTTGAGGGCAGTGGGCAGCAGGAAATAAAATGAAGAATGGGACTGAACAGAGTGCTTGGTGATGAAGGAAGGCAGAGAACTATGTCACCCAGGACTGTTGTCACAGGGATGCTCCCAGACTCAGCTCCACAGTCACTATGACCCAGCAAGTCTCTCCACTAAGCAAATACCAAGGATCATCCCAGATGCTTTTATAGACACATATGAGGTATACAAGGGACACAAAGCAGGGAGGCAATCGATACACTGGTGATGCCAAAACAAAAGTTAAGAAGCAGGAAACAGCTGAGTGCTTTGGGGGACTTCACAAACTCCGTATGACTGGGACATCAAAAGATGCTGTGTTAAAGAGAAGGCTAAAGACCTGGCCAGGCATGACGGCTCACACCTGTAATCCCAGCACTTTAGGAGGCTGAGGCGGGAGGATTGCTTGAGCACATGAGTTCAAGACCAGCCTAGGCAACATAATAAGACTTTTTCTCCACAAAAAAATCAAAATATTAGCCAGGTGTGGTGGTAACATGTCTGTGGTCCCAGCTACTCAGGAGGCTGAGGCGAAAGGATCGCCTGAGCCCAGGAGGTTGAGGCTGTGGTGAGCCGTGATCATGCCACTGTACTCCAGCCTGAGTGATAGAGTGGGACCTCTGACTCAAAAAAAAAAAAGACTTGCAAACACCATTCTATATCATTAAAATTATCTGAAGAACACTAGCCATGTTTAGAAAGTAACATCAAAAGAAAACAATGGCCCAGATAAGCTGAAACCAGTAAAGCAAAGCAAAGTATCAAGGTAAGCATTCCTGGATTCTCTTTTTAAAATAAATCCTAAGAGGAGAGTATCTAGGAAGCTAATTAAGGAGCAGATAATAGGGAAATACACAATCTGCTGGTATTAAAAGCCTATCCACTGGGCTCATAAACCCACCAAGCTGTCTACTGCATAGTGGGAAACACAGCCTCTCAGCTTCCCCCTCCTGCCTGAACCCCTGACTGCAGGGCTGCCCTTGCCAAATCAGGGCCCTGTTTCATCTGTTTCCCTGGTACGAAAGTCACACTTTGTAATTTTAACAAAAGCATTAAAAAGCCCCAACTCTACCAAATTTTAACAGAACTGATCTCATGACATCAGATGGTCTTTTTGTATTCTCTTTTCCAGAATAAACGTACGTTTCAACTGAAACACGTTTTCTTATCAGAAAGACACTGTGGAGTTCTGTTGAATGGGTCTCTGCTTGAAGTGGTAAGGGGATGGGTTGGGGTGGAGATCGGAGAAGGTAAGAGCAGGTGCAGACAGAGACTTTTCTGAGCCTCTTGCTAGCCCAGGCAAAAGAACAGCTAGTTCTCCTAGGATGACAAACGTTTTCTGTAAAGAATCAGATAGAATCTTTCTGTAAAGATTCCAGCTCTCCGTCTCTCTGTTGCTCTCTCCCTCTCTGCAGCTCTCTCCCTGCCTCTCTCTCTCCCACTTCCTCTCTCTCTCTTACTCTCTCTTTCTCTCTTTTCTTTTTTTCCGTTACAGATCCCCTCTGTAACAACCCTTTTAATAAATCTCTTGGTCCTGAAAAAAAAAAAAAAAAGATTCCAGGCTTTGTAGGTCATAGGGTCTCAAATTCTGACATTGTATCACAAAAGCAGCCGTAGTCAACATGCAAAAAATTGGTGTGGCTGTGTTCCCATAAAACTTGATTTATAAAAACAGGCCATGAGCCAGATTTGGAATATAGTTTCCTGACCCCTATGACAGACTATTTGGCATCTGAACTTTCAAATCTGAGTGCACACCTTCATGATAACAAACTTTCAGTGTTACCCCATTAGGTGTCAAAAATTTAATTGATTCATTGTTAGGATCAGTAAACATGAGTTTTACCCAGAAAAGGAATCTTCTTTGTCCTTGCCCAAGAAATCGCCTGGAGTTTTCCCAATGTTCCTCTGATTCCAAAGCCTCCAGGCACAAGAATACCACTAAAATCAACATAAAATGAGGGTAAATTTGACTATCCATTATTTTTATTTTTAAAACTGGTGTTTTCAGCCATTCATGCAATGCTTGGCGCAATCACTAGTGAATATGCTCAAGGTTTATTTTCAGAATCGATTACATGATTTCACATCCTAAACTTACTTTTTGAAATCCTCACAGTGTTATGAAGAAGTTGTGACAATTTCTTACAACTGACTTCAATTTTCTGGTAAGTCTTTGTGGCATCAGAGCATAGTAACTGGGAAACTCAGTTCAACTAAGAATGCCACTGGGAGAAGAATCAGAGTAAAAATAGGCTAAAGTTCTTTCAAAGCACTACTACAGGCCAGGAGCGGTGGCTCATGCCTGTAATCCCAGCACTTTGGGAGGCTGAGGCAAGAGGACTGCTTGAATCCAAAAGTTTCAGAACAGCCTGGACTACAAAAAAAATCAAAAAATTAGTCAGACATGGTGACACACGTCTGTAGTCCCAGCTACTCAGGAGGCTGAGGCAGAAAGATCACCTGAGCCCAGGAGGTCGAAGCTGTGGTAAACCATGATCATGCCACTGCACTCCAGCCTGAGTGACATAGTGAGATCCTGACTCAAAAAAAAGCACTACTACAAAAAATGTTAATATCTCTTATATTATCAGAAAGAGCTAAATTGGTAAAAATCAGTCTAAGATTTCAATTGCTAATTAAGTATTTTAGCAAATGAAAATTTCCTGGCGAGAAGATCTTTTAGAGACCTTGTAGGCAAACACCAAATTCAAGAGAAAAAACAACAGAAGGTTTATGCTACCCTCACGATGCAATGCTGCCCCCAAGAGTTCTGTCAATTACTTACAAAATAAAACCTAGAATCAAACTGTGGAAAAGAAAATATAATCCAGAGAGGACAGTCGTCATTCTTATACTTTAACTTTGTATATGTAAGATTCATCTCTGCATCTTTCAGTAGAATCAACACACTTTCCCTCCAATACAGTATCCCCATCCTCCCCAAATAAGATCATTTCCACTGCACATGCCACCAAGATTAACACGGCACGTTTCAAAGCAATGCAGTACACATTCAGCAAAGACCACAAGTACTCCAATTACCTTTCAAAATACACAGAAATAAGCAGTTAGGGTAAAACTGAATTGGATGGGAAAAGCATAATGGCATTGTCCTAACTGGTGTAGACAGGAACTGATACTCACTCAGCTTTGCATAGCTTCTGCCAAGCTTCGTGGAATTTCACAGGGTCCTCAGTTTCAGTGATCTGCTCCAGATCAATGGAGTCTATGTACTAAAAAACATCCAACAGATCAAAGGAGCATTTAAGAAAAATAAATACTCAAAAACACTAGAGCCATCTGACACAATTATTCAATAATTACTTATTATGAAAACACTGCATTGAGCACTGAGGATGGAAAAACACAGTCTCTGCCTTGTAGCTCTTATAATCTTTCAGAGAGATTAAGAAACTGAATAAACAGTCATCTACACCATAGTGTGACAAAGGCTACGATGGGGCCACATCTCATCTAGACCTGGACAGTGGAGGAAAGAAGGGAAAGCGACATCAGAGAAGAGCGCTGGGGAGATGTCTGAGAAGCTAAGTCCTGAGGATGAGTGGAGGTAGGATAAGCATGTGTGTGCGTGTTGAGTAAAATCTCAGGTGAAGGAAGCGTGTGTATGAAACCTCAGAAGAAAGAGTAAGAAAGTGGGACCTTCCAAAGAGGCTCCACTCAGCAATGGGAGAAAAGACCTGATTGGTTAGGGGGAAGCAACGGGCGAGACTTAAAAGCCATGATGGAGTTTACACCTAAAGCCACTTGCAATGGTCTCAAAGTCTGTGTCCTCTCCCCATGATTCACAATGTTGAAATCCAGACTCCCAAGGGGATGGTATTAGGATGTATGACCTCTGGAAGCTAATTAGGACAAAAGGGCAAAGGCTTCATGAATGGGATTAGTGTCCTTATTAAAAAGGCCCCAGGCTGGTGCAGTGGCTCACACCTGTAATCCCAACACTTTGGGCAGCCATGGCGGGAGGATTGCTTGAGCCCAGGAGTTTGAGACCAGCCTGGGCAACATAGTGGGACTCCATCTCTACAAAAAGCAAAAAATATAACTGAGTGTGGTAGCACATGCCTGTGGTCCCAACTACTCAGGACACTGAGGCTGAAGGACTGCCTGAACCCAGGAGGTCAAGTCTGCAGTGAGCTATGATTGTGATTGTACCACTGCACCCCAGCCTGGGCAATAGAGTGAGACCTCTCAACTCAAAAAAAAATTTCTTTTTAAACAGAAAGGCCCAAGAGGGCAGTCTTTCTGTTTCAAAAGAGAAATTTGCCTGTGCCAGGTCTTTCTGGTATGAATCTTTCACCTGTCCTCTCTTTCTTCTCTTCTCGTTAATAAACTTTGTTTTAAAACTTAAAAAAAAAAAAGTCCGGGCGTGACTCACACCTATAATCTCAGCACTTTGGGAGGCAGAGGAGAGAGGACTGCTTGAGCCCAAGGGTTCAAGACCAGCCTGGGAAACCTCGTCTCTATTGGCAAGACCTCGTCTCTACAATTAAAAAAAAAAAAAAACTTAAAAAAGAAAGAAAGGCTCCAGAGACCTCTATTGTCCTTTCTGCCACATGATGATATAATCAGTAGTTGGCAGTCTGACCCCAGAAGAGGGTCCTCTCCAGAACCCAGCCATGCTGGTACCCTGATCTCAGACCCCCAGCCTTCAGAACTGTGAGAGAGAAATGGCAGTTGTTTTTGAGCCACCCGGTCTATCGTACTTTGTTATAGCAGCCCGAACAGATTAAGACACCATTGAAAGGTCTTATGTAAGGGAATGACAGAAACAGAGAGAAACGAGTGTGATTTTAGAAAGACCGCTCTGGTCCAATGTGGCAAACAGAGGGAAGACTAGTGCTAGAAACCAGTAGGAAGTTGTTGCAGTGAGCCAGGAGAGGAAAACAGACATAACATGGCTTTAGAAGGAATACGACAGAGTCACAGTTCAAACAGTACTTACTAGGAGCGAATATGAATGATTTCATGAGATGAAGCATCATGCACATTAGCTCCTACTACACATCAGTCCCTATACATCTATATTATTTTAGTATTTCTTTCCTAAAAATGACTATCTGAATACATCTTAAGATACAAAATTTTAGAGACTTTATAAAATTTGTGTCATGGTAATTTTTCTATTGTTGTTTTCCTTTAGGAACAGAAAGTGAACTATTGCTTGGAAAGTCAAAAATAAAAAGTGATTAGGAAAGGAGCCTGGGCCAGGTGTGGTGGCTCATGCCTATAATCCCAGCACTTTGGGAGGCCGAAGTGGGAGGATTGCTTGAGCCCAGGTGTTCGAGACTAGCTTGGGCAACATAGTGAGACCTTGCCTCTACAAAAAAAAGTTAAAAATTAGCCAGGCATGGTGGTGCGCCACTGTAGTCCCAGCTACTCAGGAGGCTGAGGCAGACGGATCACCTGAGCTCAGGAAGTCAAGGCTACAGTGAGCCATAATAGTGCCACTGCATCCAGCCTGGGTGACAGAGTGATATCTTGTCTTAAAAAAAAAAGAGAAGAAAAAAAGGAAAGAAGGAAGGCTAAAAAGAGAAGAAAGAAAGTCAGCTAGGTCTTAAGCTGGTGTCAAAGTAGAAGTCACTATATTTCTTTAACATATAAATGGATCTTTCTACTCATTATACAAAGTTTTTGCCAATTTAAATCAAGATGATAAGGCTTGCTTAAATCCATATCAAATATCATGAAATATAAATGTGAGATACATATGTATAGAGAGAGAAAGGTATGGTCCAGGTGTGATGGCTCACTCCTATAATTCTAGTGCTTTGGGAAGACAAGGTGGGAAGATTGCTTGATACCAGGAGTTTGAGACCAGCCTGGACAACAAGCACAGTGAGACTTCATCTCTACAAAAAATTTTTTTAAAAACTCAGGCAGGCAGAAGTGGTGTATGCCTATAGTCCCTGCTACTCAGGAGGCTGAGACCGAGGCAGAAGGATCAATTGAGGCCAGGAGTTTGAGGCTGCAGTGAGCTATGATCACACCACTGCACTCCAGCCTGGATGACAAAAGAGGAGTGGGATTTCAGAGAGGAGGAATCTGCTTTCTGCATTTTACATTTATGCTTTGTTGAAATGTTTTATACCGTACTACTATACCTGACAAAGAATATAGTCAAAGACAAAGAATATAGTCAAGCTATATCTATATAACTCCACCTCTGTTATCCCATAATACTGATTTTAAAAAACAAATAATCACTGTTTTCCAGTTAGAAAGGGGAATATGGCATTTTAAAAACCTGGATTCCATTCCAATGCTAATGGGAAACAGTATTCTATTACTTTCTTGTTAAGCAAATACAATGTACTTAAAAGAGTATGCTCCCTTATTTGAATATGCAAAAGCTAATTTCATAAACGTGCTTTAAACTTGCATGCAGAAGGGTAACCCCCTCAGGTCCCCTCCCACTGTTGGAGCTTTTCTGTCCTCTCAATAAATTCTGCTTTCTAAAACAACAACAACAACAACAAAAACTTGCATGTAGAAAAAAAGTTAATACAGCAGGCCAGCAGGCCAGACAGTTATCCTCAAAAAGGCCTGCTACAAGACTGGTCCTTGACTGGTGTCTGGAAACTCGGATGTCAGGAGGGTTCCCACCATTCTAAGAACTGGTAAGAGTGGCTCATGTTGCCTAAACATGCACCTAAACAGCATGGTTTCTGCTGGGCCTGCTTTACTCCTGGAAGTCTGGAATTTTGGTATATGCTAAGCAGAGAGTACCCATGTGACAAGCTCCCAGTAAAAACCCTGGATGCTGAGTCTTGTGAGCTTCCCTGGTAGATGGCACTTAGCACATATTATCTCAACTGGCTGGGAAAATTAAACTCAATTTACAAGATTCCACCAGTGGGAAGGAAGTTTGTGTCCAGTTTCTCTGAGACTTCATCCTGTGAGACTGTTTTGTTTGCTGATTCTGCTTTGTATTCTTTGACTACAATAAATCTTAGCCATGAGGATGACTACATGCTGAGTCCAATGCGTCCTGGTGAATCATGGATCCTGGGGGTGGTCTTAGGGACCCTTCAACATAACCTGCCTCTGTGGACATGAGATATTGGTGTGAATGATTGAAACAGCCAGAAAACAAGAACAGGACTCACCATCAGATTCAACTTGTGGTTGATGGCCAAGGCTGAGTGTTCAAGGGCTTTGAACACAGAGGCGTAGCAGTCCCTGAGCTTGGTGTATTTGCCAACCAGGGCTATGGAACATGTTTTCTGTAATCTTTCATACCTGGGGAGGAAGAAAAGCTCAAAGGTTATATGCATGTAACAGAATATCACAAACATAACAATGGTAGCCACCGCTCTTATTCCAAGGCACTTTTTCCTTAAGAGCAGCTATAGTCCCAGCTACTCAGGAGATTGAGGCAGGAGGATCACTTGAGGCCAGGAGTTTGAGACTGGCCTGGACAACACAGCAAGACCCCATCTCTAAAAAATTTAAAATGTTTTAAAAAAATTAACTGGGCATGGTGGCACACACCCGTAGTCTCAGCTACTCAAAAAGTTGAGACAGGAAGATCACTTGAGCCCAGGAGGTCAATGCTACAGCGAGTTATGATCACACCACTGTACTCCAGCCTGACAACAAAGCAAGACTTTGTCTCTACAAAAAAAAAAAGTGTATATATATTATCCAAACAGATTTCAAAATCATAAGAAATCCTAATGTAGGCTTACATAAGCAGGTACAGATATAAATTTGAGAGATTATATTAGAGAAAAAGTTAAAAGCATTAAAAATAAAAAATTGAAAAGCCATCACCATCTCGTAAACATGAGCTGTTCTTAAATTAGTTTATAAGGTGACATTGTATTAGAAAATGCATTCTGCGTGTCAATAGGAAACATTCCAATATTAACTTAGTAAGGTGACATTGTATAAGAAAATGCATTCAAAGTGTCTACATTTAAAATTGTTACATTCCCAGCTGGCCTACAAAAGTCTGGTTATTCATGGCATGCCTGAAGAATGGTGCTAAGAGAACGATTTAAAATACCATAAGCCATTTAGATCATTTTTATGAGAAAAACTCCATTCTACAGAAGACCCTCAATCAAATTTTACCATTAGAGACACAATCTTTAGTGTTGCTTTTCTCTGGAAATCTGTTTGAAGAACATGAAAAATATCTGGTCTGGTATTAAGTATGTGGAAATGTCATCTTGGGTTTGGAAATGTTTTAGGGCTTTGAAGCAAACCCTTCCCCAAACACCTTAGAAAAATGTTACGGTGATGAGGAACATCCCTCTTCCAGATCAACATCTGCAAAGAACGCGGGAGACATGTGATCGCCAACAGGCAACGTGGAGAAAAAGGCACAAGAAGCTAAGAAGTCAAATCTGATAGGAAAGGTGACTCTCTAGGAAGGTAACTAAAGTAGCTGAGAGAAGGTTGTCAACTCTTTAACTCCCTGCTTCATTTTATGTTGTCCTGGAGATTTTGTAGCTGTCCGAGCCTCACAACACCTCTCCGTGAAGGATACAGGTAATGACAAGCAGGCTGACAGCAGGCCAAGTATCAAAGCTGAGGTCAGAGGAAGGCAGTCACAGCTGGGCCTGGGCCTCACCCCCTTTTCCATCCTCCATAGACCAGAAAGAAGCAGCACTGAAGTCAATGTCACATGTTCCTCCTTCTTCTCACTCATGCCTAGTCTTTCCAGGGGAAAAGGAGTCACTGGAAGGCAGGTGAGACAGGTGAGTCTACTGGCTATCTATCCACATACTGGGGAGGGGACTGCGGCAAGAAGGTGTGCTGGGCCCAGCCCTCTTGCTCCCTTTCTCTCTCAGACCTGCACTTTCCAGAGCAGCCAAGCATCTTCTTCATATGCCCCACTCAGCCATCTGCCATCACTGAGTTAAGGCAAGCATCTAATACTACTGGAGCAGCTATGGGAAGGGGAGGGGGAGTCCACTTTGCAGGCCCATCCCCTACAAGCAGGTTCCAAGGGAAGTAAAGGGCAAGAGGTGGAGGGGCATCCCCACCTTGGCCTGGGGTCCCAGGCAAGCATTCCCTTGGTGTAACCAAGGACCCCCTGGCCTCTGCGCAGCACTGGGCCTCCATGATGGAGGCTGCCCCTCTGACCTCTGTTTGCTTCCTTGCATCTTTCCATAGGCTGTACTGATTGGACAGGAGCTATAGAATGGACACCCTACACCACTATTATCAATTAACTAGTGTCACCACCAACATGATACAGAGGGACTAATGCACAACATCATGCCTTTGCTTGAAGATAGTAGCTGAATGACGGCCCCCCTAAAAAACGTGTCCCCCAGAACCTGTGAATGTGACCTTGTTTGGAAAAAGGGTCTCTGCAGATGCAATTAAGTTAAGGCTCTCCAGATGAGATCATTCTGGATTAGGGCAAGCCCAAAGTTCAGTGACTAGCATCCTTATAAAAGAAGAGAAGAGAGAAAGTGACATGAAGGGAAGACAGAGACAGGAGTGATAGGGCCACAGCCAAGGAATATCAGGGATTGCCAGCAGCCATCCGAAGCGAGGAGAGAGGCCTGGGTGGGACAGAAGGAACCAATCCTGTGGGTGCCTTGATTTTGGACTTCTGACCCCCATTACTGTGAGAGAATAAGTTTCTGTTGTTTTAAGCTACCGAGTTTATGGTTATTTGTTATGGCAGCCACAGGAAACTAAGACAAAGACTAAACATTTAGCTTTAAAAAGCATAAAAGCATAGAGTAAATTTTAGAGTTATTTCCAATAAAAAGAACTAAAGTATTAAAACTTCTAGTGCTTAAAGAGGATTAGCCCTAAGCTACTCAGAAAATTACCACAAAATGACTGATTCCTTCAATACTCTGGAGGGCGGGGACTTCATCGTATCACCATTTATTAGAGTATCTAAGCTCAGAAACTGCACTCTATTCCTGATTCTACCTGCCTCAGAAAGTCTGAAGCATTTTTTAAAATTTTAAGTGAAAGAGCCAGAGAACTTAAATCGGATTAGTCATCTACCAAGGGCAATGATTTTCTCACCATCAAATCATTTCAATTATTATTACCAACATAAGCAACTAATACTTAGTGCCTGACTCAATGTTAAGTCCTCACATTTTCTCTTATAATCGCCACTAAGTGGGTACTAGTAGCCTCATTATACTTGAATGGTAGAACAAACCCAGAGAGGTTAAGTAACTCCCCAAACTCATACAGCTAGTAAAAGGAGGAGGTAGGCTCTGAATCTATTGCACCTACTGCGTCTAACCTAAGCTGCACAAGAAGTCAGGCAGCCTAGGACTGTAGAGTCCCGCCTGAACTATATTGAGTAAATGGAAACAAGTGACAGGGACTTACCTTCCTTTTTTTTTTTTAATGAAAGACAGGGTCTCACTATATTGCCCAGGCTGACCTTGAACTCCTGGCATCAAGCAATCCACCTACCTCAGCTTCCCAAATAGCTGGAACTATAGGCATGTGTCACTGTGCCCAGCTTAATTTCCATATGGTTTATTTTATTTTTATTTTTTTGAGTTGGAGTCTCACTCTGTTGCCCAGGCTGGAGTGCAGTGGCACACTCCCGGCCACCACAGCCTCAACCTGCTGGGCTCCAGCGATCCTTCTGCCTCAGCCTTCCAAGAAGCCAGAACTACAGGCATGCACTACCACACCCAGCTATCCATATGATTTCAAGTTAGACAAACTTTGCTTAAATTAATATAGTTATCTGAAAGCTAAAATCTATTAGGAATTGTAGGAATGATGCTGAATAGTTAATAACTACAAGGTGGAACAATAATGGCATAGCCAAAGCTTTCCATTCAAAAGAATTTTCTTTAGGAAATGTTAGCCTAACCTTAGAAACAAACAAAACAAAATAAAAAATTGGGCAACCCCCTTGGGTCCCCTCCCACTCTGGAAGCTTTTCTGTCCTCTCAATAAATCCTGCTTTCTCAAAAAAATTAAAGAGATAAAAATCCTGCAACATTTACAACTGTTTAAAATGTTCAGAAACTAAAAAATAATCTAATAAATAAATAAAATCCTTCTGGAATCTAAAAAAAATTCCTTTCACAATCCAAATTCGATTCAGAATCCAATTCAATTAACTTTGGTTTAAGTAAAACAAAATCAAAAGTTTCAGAAATCTTCAAAGAATACAGTGAAACACCATATCAATGTACTATATCTTTAAGTATATCCAGATCAAAACAGACTGTCAAAGACAACATGCTTATCCTTTAAAGCAGTTCTTAGTCTTACCCCCAAACTCAAGAATTATTAAAGAGTATATAAATAATTCCTTTCGCTTACCTGTCAGCCATATTTCTCCACTTGAAAAGCAAATTACTTGCAGAATCACCAATGGGCAGGTCTAATCTCTCCTTAAAATATTTAACAATGCCTTGTTCTTCCAAAAGCACAGGCACTCGGTATGTGGAAGAAACATCATGGATACATATGACCTAATCGATGATGAGAAAAACATTCATATTTAGGTGGATCGACTCAAATATGCCACAAGGATGAGACAAAACTCACAGAGACTGGCAGTTTATTCATATTGATATTTTTTAAAAAGAACAAGAAAACCCAGCTACTTAAACAAGAGTCAGAATTAACACAAGGTTAGTTTTATCTAATTACAAAACTCTTTGAATTCACTATCCTATGCCTGGAACCATTGATGCTATCGAATAATTAAATGTATATTAGGTTTTCCCCCAGTTCTTGGCCCACAGCTTCAAAAACCCTCAGAATTTCCTGAGTGATAAGAATGTCTTTGCTATGCAAAATAAAGTGACTCCTGGTGGCCCCAGATAGCTTGAGGATGGGGCTAAGAAAAACCAAGTGATTAGAGAGCTAGAACTTTCGGCCATTGACCTGACCTCTGGGAAGGGAAAGGTGGCTAGAGATTGAGTTCAAACATGTGGCCACTGGGCGTCTATAATCCCAGCACTTTGGGAGGCCAAGGTGAGAGGATTGCCTAAGCCCATGGGTTTGAGACCAGCCTGGGCAACTTGGTGAGACCTCATCTCTACAATAAATCAAAACATTAGCTGGGCATGGTGGCGCATGCCTGTGGTTCCAGCTGCTTGGAAGGCTGAAGTGGAAGGATGGCCTGAGCCCAGCAGGTCAAGGCTATGGTGGCCGTGAGCATGCCATTGCACTCCAGCCTGGGCAACAGAGTGAAACTCCAACTCAAAAAGAAAAACCAAAAAACAAACATGTGGCCAATGAGTCAATCAGTCATGCCTATACAATAAAACCTCAATAAAAACTCTGGAGACCAAGGCTCAGGGGAGGTCCCTGGTTGGTGAATATATGAAGGTACCAGGAGGGCAGCACACTTTGACTCAACAAAAAGTTCCTGTGCTCAGGACCCTCCTAGACCTTGCCCTCTGTATCTCTTTATCTGGCTTTTCATTTACACCCTTTAGCTTAACGGTAATTGTAAATATAGCACTTTTCTAAGCTCTGTAGGTCACTCTAGTGAACTATCAAACCTGAGAGGATTATGGGAAGCCCCAAATTTATAGTCAAGTTGGTGGCTCATGTCTGTAATACCAGCACTTTGGGAGGCCGAGGCAGGGGGATCACCTGAGCCCAGGAGTTTAAGACAAGCCTGGGCAACATAGCAAGACCTCATCCCCACAAAAACCAATTTTTTTAATTTTCCTTTTTCATAAAGTTGTGAACAAGAAAAAAAAATTAGCCCAGCTTGGGGACACTGGAAACTTGTGGCAGGTGTCTGAAGAGGGGGGCAGTCTTATAAGGGATTGAGCCCTTAAACCTGTGTGTCAGTTGCTCACACTGGGTAATGTCAGAATTGAATGGCAAGATTCCCAGCTGGTGTCAGAGAATTGCTGTTGAAATATAGATGTTTTATATGTCAGTACCCAACAATTCTTGCCCAAGGTACCATCCTCTAAGTCTGGGTCCAAGTAGTAACACTGAATACACACATCTTGTCTTCTAAGTGTGTGTATGAGGTTTGTTCATTCATTCATTGTTGCTGCTAACGTAGTTGCTTTTGGCTGCAACCTTGTTCCCTGTTCCCTTCATTTGGATAAATTTACAAGCACACGTTGACCACAGAAAAATTAATCATACTTGCCGGAGGAGACAGGCACCTTTAAATTCCAGGAGGTGCCTAGCCGTGGTCATTTTTCACGCTTACCTTAATGGGCTTTCCATAACCTCTCAAGTACATCCAAGGGGCTACTTGCAGGTATTTGAGGATCTGCCACATCCTAAGCAAATGCCAAAAAATGTTATGCCAACTCTGCGTTCAGTCTGAAACTGCCCATATAAAATTAATACAGGGCTGGGCTCAGTGGCTCAGCCTGTAATCCCGCACCTTCGGGAGGCTGAGGTGAGTGGATTGCCTGAGCCCGCAGGTTCGAGACCCGCCTGGGCAGGCGAGACCTCATCTCTACAATAAAATTAAAAAATTAGCCGGGCGTGGTAGCACGCACCTGTAATTCCGGCTACTCGGAAAGCTGAGGCGGAAGGATCGCCGGAGCCCAGCAGGTCGAGGCTGCAGTGGCCGGAAGCGGCCACTGCACTCCAGTCTGGGTGACAGAGTGAGACACCAACTCAAAAAAAAAAAAAAATTAATATAGAGTCACAGGGCAAAATCTGAGGAAAAGACCTGAGTCCTGCAAAGTTGCAGGTAAAGCTAAAAGTTGACCAGGCATGGTGGCTCATGTCTGTAATCCCAGCACTTTGGGAGGTCGAGGCAGAGGGATCACTTGAGCCCAGGAGTTCAAGACAAGCCTGGGCAACATAGTAAGACCTCATCTCTATTAAAAAGTTTTTTTTAATTTTCCTTTTTAATATAGTGGTGAATAAGAAAAAAAAATTAGCCTGGCATGGTGGCACATACCTGTAGTCTAAGCTACTAGGGAGGCTGAGGTGAAAGGATTGCCTGAGCACAGGAGTTTGAGGCTGCAGTGAGCAGTGGTCATGCCACTGCACTCCAACCTGAGTGATGAAGTGAGACTCTGACTCCACCAAAAAAAAAAAGTTAACAAATCTGTTGCTTCTAAGTTCTGTTTCTAACTGTGCCTTCTTTCTTGCTCATACATAGTTGCTTCAATAGAAAGCAGTCACTAATAATTGATTATCTTCATGTCCTGACCCTAGATGAAAGTTGCCCACAAGAAGATTGATGAAACTGATTTTCCCTTAAACAATGAGCCTGAGGTCCTGCACATCTCCCTGATGGCATCCAGGAGTTTCACTGGCCTCCTGCACACCTTTCTGTAAAGGTATAGGCAGAGGTATAAGGTAAATGCTAACCAACCATGGTAACCAGCCATCATCCCTTAGGCTGCTTCTCTATAATGGCTTACTGCTCAGGAGTCAGGTCACTGGGAGTCACAAGACTTGTAACTTCCCCAGTTGCTACTGTAAAGCCTCTCAGATATTTTTAGACTTTGCATTTTGATAGACCAACTGGTCCCACCCAAGTCCATGATTTGCACCAAGCTAATTAGACCAGTCCCAATCCCCATGGCTCTGTGCACAAAGATAATCTTGGCACCCCATGACTTCATCCCCAACCAATCAGCAGTGTCTGTTCCCTATCCTCCTGCCTGCCAAATTATCTCTAAAAGCCCGAGTCTAAAATTTATCAGGAAGGCAGATTTGAGAAATATCTCTTGTCTCCTGCTTGGCTGTCCGGCAATAATTTTTTTTTTTTTTTTTTAGAATCAGAGTCTCACTGTTGCCCATATTCTGAGATAATAGCTTGTAACATATTTGTTGGTAACCGAATATGGCGTTTTTTTGATTGTTTTTTTTTAATTTGTCACACAGGCTGGAATGCAGTGGCACGCTCACGGCCACTATAGCCTCGACCTGCTGGGCTCAGGTGTTCCTTCTGCCTCAGCCTTCCAAGTAACTTGAACTATACGCATGTGCTATCATGCCTGACAAATTTTTTCATTTATTG